GGAAGGTGCCGGGGGACGTGCCAGCGGACGTGCCAGGCGACCCGCGCTGGGGAGGCCCCGGAGGCCCGACACCATTCGACCATCCTCCTCCTCCTCCTCCTCCTCCTCCTCCTCCTCCTCCCCTCCTCTCCTCCTCCTCCTCCTCCATCCTCCTCCTCCTCCTCCTCATCCTCCTCCTCCTCCTCCCTCCCTCCTCCTCCTCCTCCTCCTCCTCCTCCTCCCTCCTCCTCCCTCCTCCTCCCTCCTCCCTCGCCACGCACCCTGGCCTCTGAAGACCGCCGCCGAAAGACCGCCGAAAACCGCCCGCGGGCGCGCGCCGCGCCGAGAGCGTTGAGGCCCGACGCAGTCTTCGGCGGTCTTCGGCGGTCTTTCGACGGTCTTCGGCGGGCCTCGGCGGGCTTTTGGCGGTCTTCGGCGGTCTTTCGGCAGTATTCAGCGGTCTTTCGGCGGTCTTCGGCGGTCTTCGGCGGCCACAGGTGTGAAAGCGAAATCCGCCGATCCAGCGTGTGAACTACAAGGAGCCTCAGCAAGCGCTTCAGCTCTGAGCCGAAGCAAGAGCTTCAGCTCTGCTTGGGGGGGTCGCCGGGGTGGCTCTGCCGGGGAAGCGGGGGAGGGGGGGGTCCTCCGTCTGGCGTTTTCTTCATGATTTGTTCATCCCCCAGATATTTCGGGGGGTCCCAGGGTCGCCGGGGTGGCTCTGCTGAGGAAGCGGGGGAAGCGGGAGGGGGGAGTCCTGACCGAACTGATCTGGATCTTAAGCTCGAGCTGCCTGAGCACATAGTAGCTGGGGACACGCCAGGGGGACGCGCCGCGGAACGTCCTAAGGGACGCGCCAGGGGTCGTGCCAGGGGACGTGCCATGGGGACGCACCGCGGGACGTGCCAAAGGGACGCGCTACGGAACGTGCCAGTGGACGTGCCACGGGACGCGCCAGTGGACGCGCCGCGCGAAGTGCCAGGGGGACTCGCCATGGGACGCGCCAGGGACCGTGCCAGGTTGCAAGGCTGAGTGCATGGATCTTGATGTACCGTGCCGAGGGCTGCGCTGTGCAGCGCCGTGCTGAATTGCGATGTGCCATGCCGCGATTGTGCTCTATAGCGTTGTGGATCGAGTCCTCCTTTGCATCCGAGTCCTGACCGAACTGATCTGGATCTTAAGCTCGAGCTGCCTAAGAACATAGTAGCTGCCCCAGAGCTAATTGACAGGGGACATGCCAGGAGGACGCGCCGCCGAACGTCCCAAGGGACACGCCAGGGGTCGTGCCAGGGGACGTGCCACGAAGACGCACCGCGGGACGTGCCAGAAGGACGCGCTACAGAACGTGCCAGTGGACGTGCCACGGGACGTGCCGGGGGACGCGCCGCGCGACGTGCCAGGGGGACTCGCCACGGGACGCGCAACGGAACGTGCCAGGGAACGTGCCAAGCGACGCGCCAGGGAACGTGCCAGGGAACGCGTCAGGGAACGTGCCGCGGGACGTCCCTGACCCAGGGCCAGGATCACTCGTAAATTACAATGCGTCCGCGCTCCCAGGGCCACGATCCATAATAAATTACGCTGCGTCCGCGCTCTCAGGGCCACGATCCCTTGTAAATTACGCTGCGTCCGCTCTCCCTGGGCCACGATCCCTCGTAAACTACGCTGCGTCCGCGCTCCCAGGGCCGCGCTCCCTTGTGAATTACACAGTGTCCGCGCTCCCAGACGATCCCTTGTAAATTACACTGGGTTCGCTGCGTCCGTGCTCCCAGGGCCAGGATCGCTGCAACACAAACGTTTCGCCCGAGACATCATCAGAGATTCGGCACGCAAGGTGCGCAATCCTAGAGCGGGCACGCAAAATGATCGACCCACGAACCCGGAAAGGAATATAGACATGTAAAGCATGGCAACGTTCCAAAGACACCTGATTGGGCGACGGGCAAACGCAATGCTGAGTGTATCGATCTTGACGTACCGTGCCGAGGGCAGTGCTGTGCAGCGCCGTGCTGAATTGCGATGTGCCATGCCGCGATTGTGCTCTATAGCATTGTGCATCGAGTCCTCCTTTGCATCCGAGTCCTGACCGAACTGATCTGGATCTTAAGCTCGAGCTGCCTAAGAACATAGTAGCTGCCCCAGAGCTAATTGACAGGGGAACATGCCAGGAGGACGCGCCGCGGAACGTCCCAAGGGACGCGCCAGGCGACGTGCCAAGGGACGTGCCACGAAGACGCACCGCGGGACGTGCCGAGGGGACGCGCTACGGAACGTGCCAATGAACGTGCCACGGGACGTGCCAGGGGACGCGCCGCGAGACCTGCCAGGGGGGCTCGCCACGGGACGCGCCACGGAACGTGCCAGGCTGCAATGCTGAATGTATCGATCTTGATGTACCGTGCCGAAGGCAGTGCTGTGCTGCGCTGTGCTGAACTGAGATGTGCCATGCCGCGATTGTGCTCTATAGCGTTGTGGATCGAGTCCTCCTTTGCATCCGAGTCCTGACCGAACTGATCTGGATCTTAAGCTCGAGCTGCCTAAGACATAGTAGCTGCCCCAGAGCTAATTGACAGGGGGACATGCCAGGAGGACGCGCCGCGGAACGTCCCAAGGGACGCGCCAGGCGACGTGCCAAGGGACGTGCCACGGGGACGCACCGCGGGACGTGCAGAGGGGACGCGCTACGGAACGTGCCAGTGGACGTGCCACGGGACGTGCCGGGGGACGCGCCGCGGGACGTGCCAGGGGGGCTCGCCACGGGACGCGCCACGGAACGTGCCACGGAACGTGCCAGGCTGCAATGCTGAGTGTATCGATCTTGATGTACCGTGCCGAAGGCAGTGCTGTGCTGCGTCGTGCTGAACTGCGATGTGCCATGCCACGATTGTGCTCTATAGCATTGTGCATCGAGTCTTCCTTTGCATCCGAGTCCTGACCGAACTGATCTGGATATTAAGCTCGAGCTGCCTCAGCACATAGTAGTTGCCCCAGAGCTAACTGACAAGGGGACATGCCAGGAGGACGCGCCGCGAAACGTCCCAAGGGACGCGCCAGGCGACGTGCCAGGTGACGTGCCACGGGGACGCACCGCGGGACGTGCCGAGGGGACGCGCTACGGAACGTGCCAATGGACGTGCCACCTCATGCTAGACATCCGCCTGGGCGAACTGGACACGTGAAAACACGTGGTTCCCTCGAGACATCCTCAATACATCTTCATGTTAGAAGTCCGTTCCAGGCCCCCAGAAGGCCCCAAGATGCCCATGGTAGATACCCCCTGGGTGGCCTGGACACGTTAAAGCACCTGGTTCCGCCATGTTACCCCCTGGGCGGCCTGGACACTTAAAACACGCGGTTCCAATTCGGGACAATCATGTTAGATACCCCCTGGGTGGCCTGGGCACGTAAAAACGTGGGTGCCAGCTCAGGACAACCCTGTTTGATACCCATCTGGGTGGCCTGGACACGTAAAAACACTTGTTTCAAGCTCGGGAGAACCATGTTAGGTACCCCCCTTGGGTGGCCTGGACATGTGAAAACGCGCGCTTCCAATTCGGGACAACAATGTTAAATACCCCCAGGTGGCCTGGACACGTAAAAACACGTGGTTCCAACTCGGGACAACCATATTAGATACCCTCCTTGGGCGGCCTGGACATGTAAAAACACGTGGATCCGGCTCTGGGCAACCACGTTAGATACACACCTGGGTGGCCTAGACGCGTGAAAAACGTGGTCTTTGCTCGGGGCAACCATGTTAGATACCCCCCTGGGGGGCCTGGACACGTAAAATCGTTGGTGCCGGCTCGGGACAACCATGTTAGATGCACCCCTGAGCGGCCTGGACATGTAAAAACACGTGGTCTTTGCTCGGGACCACCATGTTATAGACCCCCCTGGGTGGCCTGGACATGTGAAAACACGTGGTGCCAGCTCGGGACAACTATGTTAGATACACCCCTGGGTGGCCTGGAAAGGTAAAAACACGTGGTTCCAGCTCGGGACGACCATGTTAGATATCCGCCTGGGCGGCCTGGACATGTAAAAACAGGTGGTTCCAGCTCGGGACAACCATGTTAGATACCCCCTGCGTGGCCTGGATACGCTGAATTCGCGCTCCCGCTCGAGACATCCTCGCAATGTCTTCCCTGGAGAGGCCCCCTGTACAGAGCAAGGCAAGAAAACATTACTTTCTGTATTAGGATATGTGTTCAGTTAGCGCGTTTCGGCCCCCCGTGCGTTTCCTGATAATTCGTCGTTGGGCCCGACGCCATGTTGGATATCCCCCTTGGGCGGCCTGGACACGTAAGAACACGTGGTTCCAATTCGGGACAATCACGTAAAAACACGTGGCTCCAGCACAGGACCACCATGTTAGATACCCCCTGGGTGGCCTGGACACTTGAAAACACGCGGTTTCAGCGCATGACCACCATGTTAGATACCCCCTGGGTGGCCTGAACATGTAAAAACACATGATTCAAGCCCGGGACCACCATGTTAGATACCCCCCTGGGTGGGCTGGACACATGAAAACACATGATTCCAGCTCGGGACCGCCATATTAGATACCCTAGCTCGGAACCGCCATGTTAGATACCTCCCGTATGGCCTTTGGTACGAATTGGTCGGGTTTCCAGACCTCGTTATTTTTCACGGATTCTGCACAGAACGCGCCCGGTGGTCTGCGGACCCCGTGATTTATCGAGGATCCGAGATGGGGGGGCAAACTTTCCTCGAGCGGGCACGCGAAAAACGCACTTGTTCAACTGACAATTCACACTTTTCCTCGTACTTCATCGCCGGAGACCCCCGGGCCGGAACCCTTTCCGGGAAAGTACGCGAGCGGTGAAAAAAGCGGCCCTCGCGCGCCGGTGAAGGAGCGCCCCCCCGCCCCCCCGCACTCGAATCTCGTTGTCTCCCCCCCCTGCGCGGGGAAAGGGAGAGATCCCCCCCGGCACTCAAATCATCTTCCTCTCCCCCCCGCGCGCGCGCGCCGGAGGGAGGGCCCCGCCCCCTCCCGCCAGCACTTGCCTGTCTCTTCCCTTTCCCCGCGCGCCGGGGAGAAATCCCATCCCCCTCCAAGCAATCGAATGTATCTCTCCTCCTCCCCCGCGCCGGGGGGGGGGGGAATGTTTTGTTTCTCCCCTCCCGCCGTCAGGTCGGCCGTCGGGTACGGCGTCGGAAAGGCCGTCGGGTACGGTGTCGGGTCGGCCGTCGGGCTGGGCGTTGGGCTGAGCGTCGGGAAGTCGGTGGGGTACGGCGTCGGGAAGGCTGTCGGGAAGGCCGTTGGGTACGGCGTCGGGAAGGCAGTCGGGTAAGGTGTCGGGAAGGCTGTCGGGTACGGCGTCGGGAAGGCAGTCGGGTGCGAAGTCGGACTTGGTGTGGGGCTGGCCGTTGGGCTGGGTGTGGGGGTAATCACTTGCCAACCTGGCCAAAAGCTTAAGGACATCTCTGAAGACCGCATAGAATAATAAAACCCTTTCCAAGTGTACCAAACAATACCTGTAGCATATGACGATACACTCCCGGGTCCTTCGTAGCGGCCGTTCAAATTTGAGCGGTGGCAGCCGTTGTACCACCACGCGCCCAAATACTTACTGGCGCAGTTGAACTACTGGTCAAGGTCGTTGTCCTGATCACTGGTTGAAAAGCTGCGTCCGTTGTGGAAGGACAGGCTGTCACCGATGTCTCCTGAATACCCGCCGATTGTCAATCGATATAGGTTCGATTCGCTGTCCACGTGGAAATTGGAGTACGTGGCGTGCCCCGGCTGACCAGTGGCGTCCACTAGGTCCACCCGCAGCTCGATCTCGCTCGACGCTTCAGTGAGACGGTGGATGTTGTCATTCCCGAGCCAGAAGTTGTCGTTGTCGCCAAAGCCCGACTTGTACTCGGACCACCCCCTGAAGAAATCAATGCTGCCACTGGTTCTTTTTTGGATGACGACCCTCCCACTGGACAACGTGACTGCGATGGGGTCGCCACCGTCGCCCAAATCTAAAGTGACCTGCCCATCCGGCGCATGTGCCAGACTGGTCGCCTTCGCCGCGCCGCGATAAACCGTGGCGTTCCCCGTGTCGAACATTGGGGTCTGCCCGGTCGTCTTCTGGTGCGCTCTTGAGCGCCACTGCCATCCCGCGCCCACACCCATGGGAAGCGCGGTACCCATGCTCTGGACAACAGATAGCACTACCAATAACCCACCCTTTATGAAAGCCATCGAAGAAGGCGGTCTTCCCAGATGCTTCCCAAGCGTGATGTGTACTTCGGTCAGGTACGCAAATCGGGTGTTCAAAATCCCTGGATGAACTCGAGCCAACAAGGACTCAAAATCCTACGGAATGCCGTGCATCTCATGATCAGACGGCTTGGCCTTGACAACACTCTACCTCTCGGCTTTTAGACATGATCGACCCACGATCCCGGAAAGAAATGTAGAAATGTAAGGCATGGCAACGCTTCAAAGACACCTGATTGGGCGACGGACAAATGCAATACTGAGTATATCGATCTTGCTGTACCGTGCCGAGGGCTGTGCTGTGCAGCGCCGTGCTGAATTGCGATGTGCCATGTCGAGATGTTGCCCTATAATGTTGTGGATCCAGTCCTCCTTTGTATCCGAGTCCTGACCAAACTGCTCTGGATCTTAAGCTCGAGCTGCCTGGGCACATAGTAGCTACCCCAGAGCTAATTGAAAGGGGAACATGCCGGGAGGACGCGCCGCGGAACGTCCCAAGGGACGCGCCAAACGACGTGCCAGGGGACGTGCCAAAGGGGCGCGCTACGGAACGTGCCAACGGACGTGCCACGGGACGTGCCAAGGGACGCGCCGCGCGACGTGGCAGGGGGACTCGCCACGTGACGCGCCACGGAACGTGCCAAGGAACGTGCCAAATTGCAATGCTGAGTGTATCGATCTTGATGTACCGTGCCCAGAGCTGTGCTGTGCTGCGTCGTGCTGAATTGCGATGTGCCATGCCGCGGTTGTGCTCTGTACTGTTGTGGACCGAGTCCTCCTTTGCATCCGAGTCCTGACCGAACTGATCTGGATCTTACGCTCGAGCTGCCTGGGCACATAGTAGCTGCCCCAGAGCTGATTGACAGGGGGACATGCCAGGAGGACGCGCCGCGGAACGTCCCAAGGGACGCGCCAAACGAAGTGCCAGGGGACGTGCCATGGGGACGCACCGCGGGACGTGCGAAGGGGACGCGCTACGGAACGTGCCAATGGACGTGCCACGGGACGTGCCAAGGGACGCGCCGCGCGACGTGCCAAGGGGACTCGCCACGGGACGCGCCACGGAACGTGCCAAGTGCGAGGTTGCAATGCTGAGTGTATCGATCTTGATGTACCGTGCCGAGGGCTGCGCTGTACTGCATCGTGCCGAATTGCGATGTGCCATGCTACGGTTGTGCTCTATAGTGTTGTGGATCCAGTCCTCCTTTGTATCCGAGTCCTGACCAAACTGCTCTGGATCTTAAGCTCGAGCTGCCTCGGCACATAGTAGCTGCCCCAGAGCTAATTGAAAGGGGAGCATGCCGGGAGGACGCGCCGCGGAACGTCCCAAGAGACGCGCCAAATGACGTGCCAAGGGACGTGCCATGGGGACGCACCGCGGGACGTGCGAAGGGGACGCGCTACGGAACGTGCCAATGGACGTGCCACGGGACGTGCCAAGGGACGCGCCGCGCGACGTGCCAGGGGGACTCGCCACGGGACGCGCCACGGAACGTGCCAAGTTGCAATGCTGAGTGTATCGATCTTAATGTACCGTGCCGAGGGCTGTGCTGTGCTGCGTCGTGCTGAGTTGCGATGTGCCATGCCGCGGTTGTGCTCTATAGCGTTGTGGATCGAGTCCTCCTTTGCATCCGAGTCCTGACCGAACTGATCTGGATCTTAAGCTCGAGCTGCCTGAGCACATAGTAGCTGCCCCAGAGCTCATTGGCAGGGGAACGTGCCAGGAGGACGCGCCGCGGAACGTCCCCAGAGACGCGCCAAACGACGTGCCAGACGTGCCAAGGGGACGCGCTACGGAACGTGCTGGGGACAAGCGTTTCGCTCGAGACATCATGCGCAAATCCTCATGCTAGACATCGGCCTGGCCGACCTGGACACGTGCAACGAAAGAGCTTCGGTCAACACATCGTAAACACATCCTCATTCTAGACAACCGCCTGGGAGAACTGGACGCGAGACATCCTCAACACAGATTCATGTTCGACATCCGTTCCAGGCCCCCAGGAAGGTCACAGAAGGCCCATGTTAGATACCCCCTAGGTGGCCTGGACACGTTAAAGCACCTGGCTCCGCCATGTTAGATACCCCTCTGGGCGGCCTGGACATGTAAAACCACGTGGTTCCAATTCGGTGCAGTTATGTTAGATACCCCACTGGGTGGCCTGAACATGTTAAAACACGTGGGACCAGCTCTGGGCAACCATGCTAGATACACCCCTGGGTGGCCTGGACACGTTAAAACACGTGGTCCTTGCTCGGGGCAACCATGTTAGATACCCCCTCATGGGTGGCCTGGACATTAAACACACGTGGTGCCAGCTCGGGGCCACCATGTTAGATACACCCCTGAATAGCCTGGACACGTAAAACCACGTGGTTCAAGCTCGGGACCCCCCCCCTGCGTGGCCTGGCTACGTAAAACTACGTGGTTCCAATTCGGGACAATCATGTTAGATTCCCCATGGGTGGCCTGCACACGGAAAGCACAAGGGCCAGCCCACACAGGGGGGGGTATCTAACATGCGGTCGTCTGGGGCGCAGGAGGGCCCGGGAACGCCCAGAAGCGCCTGGAGGCCAAAAAGCAAACGAATCGATACCAAATCCGCCGACCCTGTCGGCGTGTGGAATGGGTTGTTCTTCTCGTCCGTGCCTCCTTCCCTTTCCCACCTTTTCCGTTTCCTTCTCGTTCGTCTCCCCCTCTTCCTACTCCTCCTCCTCCTCTTCCTCCTCCTCCTCCTCCTCATCCTCCTCCTCTTCCTCCTCCTTCTCCACCTCCTCCTCCTCCTCCTCCTCCTCCTCCTCCTCCTCCTCCTCCTCCTCCTCCTCCTCCTCCTCCTCCTCCTCCTCCTCCTCCTCAGCCGTTCTGGCTCAGGCTGTTGTGGCCTGTGCTTGCAAGCGCGTAATTCAGAGCGGTTCGCGCTTGCGGGCCAATCTCGCTGTTCTTTTCACGAGGCCTGCGTGGCCAGCCTTTCGCCGCGGTGCTCCCCGCAGTGGATGGCCCCTGTCGATGGTCAGGTGCTGCCTGGGCCGCGCACGCCCCACTGGGGCTGTCAATGCGGAGTGGCGGACAACTGGGCATCGAAAATTTCATGCCGTTTGTGTGGTCGCGCTGCCGCGCAGAAGACCATCCAGGCTGCGCGTCAGGCTGCTGCGAAGGCCAGGTCATCACAGCAGCCGCTGGGGCCCAAGTCCAGGCCGCTGATCGGCCAGTGGGCGCAGGGCCCAGGCAACGCGAATGCGAAGATGCTCAAGCAGCTCCAGGGCTTGCAGCAGCAGGTCGCGAAGCTCAAAGGTGGAACCCAGTCGTCGTCGGAAACGTTGCCACCGTGGGCCAGTGGAGCAGGAGCTGCAGGAGGTGGTAACGGAGGTGGAGGTCCTGCACCGCACACTTCGGGGATCGACGTTCTCGCCTACCTCAAGAAGCTCGGGGTCGGCAATGCGGCCATCGATGCGGTTGTGGAGGCAGAGAAGAAGGCAACGGAGAAAAAGCGTGCACCTACTGCCCAGTCGGCGCGCTGGAAGGTGGAGAACCTCAAATCCAAGATCACGAAGATGAAGGCGCGGATCACCGAGATCGAGCGCCAGCGCACAGCCTTGCACGAGGAGCTCAACACGGTCAAGGCGCCCCTGGACAAATGGCGAGAGGATCTTGTGCAGGCCCAAGAGCTCTTGTGCAAGGCGCACGTCAGTGAGTTCGAGGACCCGCTCAAGGCCATCTCGGCTGGCCCTGCCTCAGCGGTCGTTGTCGGCGGAGGGCGGGGCTGCGCTGGAGAAGCCGCAGCAGCTGCAGCTCGAAGCTCAGGCCGCTGCTCGGGCCGCAGAGGCTTCTCAGGAGGACGCTGGTGCTGCTGCTCAGCCTCCAGGTGCTCCAGGCGGAGGCGGAGAGAACATCGCTGCCAACGCTGGAGACTCTGATGACATCGACATGGAGCTGCTCGGCGGAGAGGACTTCGACAAACGGAAGCAGGCCTTCGACACAGCCACGGAGGAGCTCAATACAGCCAGAGGTGGACCGCAGGAAGAGCTGGACGCTGCAAAGCGCAAGTACCTCGCAGCTGCACAAGCTCTTGGGGTCAAGCGTGCACGGACTGGCTCCTAACCTGAGCGGAGTCGGTGGTAGGCACACAGTCATGGCCGATCTTGATCGCTTCCTGGGCAACAACATGATCGACGCCGACTGGGAGGGACCACGGGCTTTGCAATTCCAGTCCTGAGGGATGACCGGCGCTTCGAGTCCACGCTGTTTAGGCAGATGGATATGGAGGGGGCGCCGTTGCTCGACCCTGCAGCGCGGCCTCTTCCTGGCGCAGGACGCGGCGAGGGCCGTGGGCCCATGGGCGGAAGGGGAAAGGGATTCAGCTCCTGTTCGTCACACCCCTCCGCCCTCATGCACTGGGGCTTCAGGCTTGACTGGGCCGTGCACGGCGACTCCGACGAGCGGTGCACCCACGGCTTCTTTGGAGCCGCAGAGGTCGCCACATGGACCTCGTGAGCCAACGGAAGCTCGTGGACCTCTCCCCCATCTGGCCCGCTCCTCGGGGTTGGGGGCATGTGCAACTCAGAGGTTGACTGTCGAGCCCCAAATGGCCCGCTCCTCGGGGTTTGGGGCAAGAGCGAGCTTGGCGGCGTCGTCATCATCGCAGAGGGCCAATGCATCGTCGTGGTCGGAAGCCCCCGTACGCACGCACTGCTCAGCACCCTCGCCTGGCAATGAGGGCGCCAGAGGGTACCGACCTTCGGCTGTGGCCGTCGGCACGCACTGCTCAGCGCATCTCTTACGCAGGGCTGTAGTGCCAGAGGGCACCGACCTTCGGGGGATGCTGGCGACGTCAGTTGCGGTTCTGAGACCGCGACCCCTCCTCCCCATGTGGAGCTAGACCCGGATTCGAAAATTCATTGGTTGAAATCCGACAGGAGGGCGTCAGAACCTCCTGCGCGTAATCTTCTTGCAGGCGAATGTACTCCAGAGGTGGTGCAGGGATCTGCTAGCGTCGTGAAAGTGATGAGTTATGCTGCTGAAGAGGCTCGCCGACAACCGCAGTCTATCGCCATCAGCACACTCGCCAGTGCAGGCATGAGCGTAAATTCGTGGAGCACGTTCGAGGCGGTGATGGAGTGGTGGGCTGACGATGGCAAAGCTGCCGGGGCTCTCTCTATTTCCCATGTCTGCTGCATACA